AACACCTCGACGCCTACAGTCTATATATGGAATTATGACTGCATAATATAGTAATTAGTAGGTAAATATCCAAGGCAGACTTATTGTTTAAGTGTTTAGGTCCACGGCCAAATCGAGAAGTACAATGTTTGGAGTTTGAACGCGTAAGACTGCAGTGTTTTCGACGATTTACTCTTCCTAGTCCAACAGAGTTCTTTAGACATGTAACGATCTGAAAACGTGTACAAACGCAACTGTATTCTACTATAGAGCAAATCATTTATTCATGTTATATAATTGTTATTATTATAGCTGTGCAGTGTGTGTATGAGAGATTAATGATTGCGCACTTTATTTTCATCTGTAGGTACTAAGGTACTATAATATTATAAACATCTGCACGCTTTCATCCGCCAAACAAGCGGAATCGAAATTTCTTGACCGTGAGCAAACGAATATGCTTTTTTCCTATATACAATATACATTATACGCATTCACTATTCTTATAATCTATTCTATACATTTATATCTTAGATTCATAGAAGCACTAGGAAGCTGTTTCGCAGTAATGGCCAATGGGTAGTTATTTATTTTTGTTGGACGCTATATTGGTATTTTTATATCCGTGTTTTTAATCTTTAAAATAGAAATCGACACCACAATACGGTCGAAAAGCCATCAAACGGCTCATTTTTCGATTTCCTCGGTTCTTTTTCTCGAAATCGGAAAATAATAATCTCGATGACTTTACGACAGCCCTATGAAATTACGTGCTAAAATTGCCCCGATTTATAAGAAAAATGTGTCAAATGGTGGAATGGGTGAAATGGTTTACTGTAATTTATTTTAATACATATTTAACATTTATAAGTTCGAGGTGTAATAATTATTTATCATTTTAATCATAAAACGATTTTACTTTATTTCAAAACGGAGTATAATAAGCGTAGTATTTTTGTTTTCGTTTTATACAATTTGCATTTTTAATTTCTAATACATATTAATATAATTCAAGGTTAATCAAGTCATATATACATATTATATAGTATGATTTTAAAGCTTATTAAAATTATGACTAACATAATCATGATATTTTTAAATCGTTATTATTGAATAATTTTATTTAATAAGGCATTAGTGACTAGAGGCATTAATATTATTTTTCTTCTGCGTCATAATATCTGTGATCCATAGATCGATGACACCTGGAACGATAATCGAGAACATGGTAGACAAAACTGAATATTCATTATAGGTAAATCGGAATTTTGAACTTTTTAAAAATATTTTTGGGAGATTTGTATCTTTATTTATTATAGAACATTGATCATTCCGTCAGTATCAATCACCAATAGGTTCAGTATAAATCATCAATGTGTACTTATCAATATACATACTACAATATTCCTATACCTAAGCTTACAACTTTGACTTTTTAATTGATTTATAAAAATACCAATGCCTATCTAAAACCATTTAGTCGTAACACTATTACGAATACTATTCGTGTACAAAGACACAAAAAAAACACACATCACTGTAAAACCAATACATTCATCGCTCAACTCAAAATCTAAAAACCAATTTATTTCGAAATTTATAAAATATTATGGATTTTTATCAGTTCACTATTTTATAAATACCCGTTACCTATGACTTTTATCGAGTATTGAAACTTATAATAACCTTACTTACAATATTCGCGCCGGAATATTATCGAATTCACATTGTAATCAAAAACAACGACACTCGCACGATTTTTCCAAGACTCGGCGAGCTCAGTTGTAAGTCATCGCTTAAAATATCCATTTATTTTCGATATAACAGTGTTTACAGTATGGCTAGGTAGCAGTATTATAGGGTAAGGGTATAATACGTTATACCTATACATATATACAAATATGACGATAAACACACACTAATTAAAGCAATACTGATGCAGAGTCAAACAAGGTTAATGGTACAACATTATAATTTATAATAATATATTATAATAATATGTAATTATTGCGTTTACTATACACGTAGGTATTGGTACTCTATACATTATAATATAAGTTTTCACCATGAAATGTTATTATACATATTTTATAATATTATGATAATACGACGTTTAACGTTTTCATTAAATGCTAATAATAATACGGCAATATCTGATTATTTTTTGTAAGCCATTTTATATTTATTTCAATTTATAATGAATTTACGTGTTCGTAAAACAACACGGCCGAGTTAGAAACAGAAAATCGTCTGAGAGTTTGTGAAATCGTGTTTAAGGTTACCATAATAATATTATATACATATTATAGTATATTATGTTGCTGCTGCAGTATTGTATGATAAATATTGTTTGAGGAAGGACAACAATATTCCTAAATGCATTAGGTACTTATATCCGGTTTTCTTCATTTGTTCAAAAAATAAATATATAAATGCCAAATGTACTATTTCTCGATCCAAATCAAGTTATTTTAAATTTTTAAATATACCTACTGTATGCACTTAATAGCTATAATTTGTTGTTCATTATAAAGAACGAATCAAATGCCAACTTACATTGATGTGTTGGTGCACATTCGATTCACAGACAATTTACCTATTCAAGGTGATTCACCAAGCCTGCTCAACCCCAATTTTCACTTTAATAGTGAATTTATTTAAATTCTGACATTTGGAATTTGTTGGTATACAACTGTTGGACAATTTCTTAGAATTATATAATGTTATCTAATAACTACTAATTACTTTGGTGGGTTTTTAATATTATATATCATATTATCATATACTCGTATTCGTATATTGTTGTTAAAGTTTAATTCAATTTAATAATCGAACAATTATTTTATAGTTGGTTAAATGTATTTTGTTTTGATCCAAAAAATATTAATTATAGTACAGTGGAACTTAAATCTTTTTCAATTATGTGAAATTATTAATTTCTAAACACAGAGAAATTTTCAAAACATTTAGACAACCTAACCAATTGTAAGGTGCATTTAAACCACAAACATATTCGCACTAATTCTACAGTAATGACTAATGAGTGATGATAGAATTTTTTTTTTTTTGACAAATTATTTACCCAAAAACCATTCCGTTGTATAATATTATTTATATAAATGCACGTGCCACAATCAAAAAGACGCGTACTTATCGTAACGAATTCCAAGCACACAGGTATAATCTTATTTAATAACAATAATAGAATACTCGTATGTTATGCACGTCGTTCGAATATTTTCACTGGGAATTCAACCTGTAGATATATCATTATTATAGTACTTACCATTTAACAGCGGCCTGCATGAATTATAACCTAATAACTAATACGTAATAAGCAATAAACTAATAACCAATCATGGTCAAAGAGCGTTTTAAAACATATTATTAATATATATTTATCTCGGTGCCAGACATCCTCCGATTCTATTTATAGATATAATACTTTTATTGAAATCGGTCCATTAGTTCCTGAGGTTACCACCTTCAAATATCTTCAGATTCATAGCATAAATATCAAGTATGAATATTGATATCCAGCTTAAATTTAAAGTGTTTAGCTTCTCAAAGTTTGTTTGGAAAAATATTTCCAAAACATAAATTAAAATATTTTAACTCGATGACGAACTATGGTATATTATGTACTAACTGCTGTTATAGGTAATTATTTATAATATGTTTGAATAACGTTTTTAATAAATTTAAAGTATATAATTAAATATGTGATATAGTACACAGAACCTACGTATTCGAGGGTAGTAGATATATAATCACTTATTATTGTTGTACATTAAAAACCACTTATATTGGTATATTTTCACGTTTAAGATATTTTCTATCATAAATTGTACGCACAGTAACGCACCAGCTAATTCTGGACATGAGTCGTGTAATCGTGTATGAATTATAATTTGACATATAATATAATATAATATTATATATCTTAATATTATTCTTATATAAGACATACTACATAGATAATTTTTGCAGTTTAGTCGTACAAGCGTGATGATAACACACATGCAATATATAATATTATTGCAGCTAAATAAATCTGTTAATTATAATATTACGAAACCCGATTAAAACGCATAATCGTGGACATATTTTATGACATAGAAATATAATATAGAGTGTATCACGATTATTCACGATGATCAAACAGTTTTATACTTAAATATTACAGATCTTCGTACGGGTACACTCAGCAGGTATGGATCTAGGGTAAGACAGTTGATCAAAAACATTTCATAAAAATATGATTCATCAAAAACAATTTGTCAATTCTACCCACATTTTTTTGAAAGTATTTTTTATCAATAACAAAAATGTTTTATGTACTTCGAATAGGTTTTTTTACTTTAAAACTAAATTATATTAGATTACGTCGTAAAAATAAAAATATTTTTATTTATTAAAATTGTTGTTAAAACTTAAAATTATAGACTATAATGATCGATATTTGATGTAAGTAGCTATATAATATTTATGGTTCGATAGTATTAGAAAATTGATTCTACGACACAAAGTTATATCATAAACAATCGATTATATTTGAATAAATATATTTATTTATATGTATATATTAATATCATAGTTTTTTTTTCACAATAAAAGTATAAAGGTAGGTCGGTAGGTATATTATGTATAATATTATAGTAGTGTAGGAATATAGCATAAATAATAAATATGTGTAAAATGTGTAAAACCTGGAGTATGTGTCCTGATGAATAAGTAACTGTGATTAGGGGGGGGGGAGACTTAAAAATACCATTACAAGCTTAGGTAAATGTTTCCGATTCGTCGATTTAAAATCGGCAGTCGTTATTCTATAATATTATATTGTTAACGATGATAGGTATCATATAATATTATAATGCATCAGCAGCTAGCTAGTCTCGCCTTGGACGTCGTTGTGGAGGATGTGATGAATGATGGCGATGATATATATTACATATTGTATAATGTAATGTTATGTCTTACTAGAATATAGCTGCCGAATTATATAAGTAGGTGAACTATTATTGGTTCATGAAAAGTATGATCTCATTTTTCTTGTTATCCGTGTCGTAAATTTGCATGAACTTGTCGAAATCCGCTCGCCTGTACGTGTAAATGTGTCTTAACACTGTCCGGGCCATGTCCTTTTGCCTTGGGTTGCATTTTCCACATACGGTACGTACAATCTCGGGCAAAAGGTAGGCTGTAAATCAGAAAACGGTCGTGTTAGGACATAGGTATTATATTTCTGAACGGGCCGGTTGGCCTGAACCACATTATACTACGAAAAGAGTTTAGGCATGTGCTATGTGTGGACATAGTGTGGAGGCTAAAGACCGAGCTATTTATTTTCTTTTATAACATAGCTACGTTGTAGAAGTAAAATAGGGGGAATTTTAGAGGTAATTACTTTTGGTTAGGTTAGGTTAGAAGGGAAAAGGAGCTTAGGTACTTTTATGGAATGGTCCGAGACGACTAGTAATACTGCGCTAAAGGTTAAGTTACCTATATGTTTTATATAAGTTACATAGATGCAACCAGTGGAATGGCTAGGGAATCTTTAGAACCCTTGGACTCAAAATTAGCACCCCAAAAATCCAAACAATGAGTAGTTCTTAATTTTTACATTAATATATTCACAATAAGTATTAATTAGACATTATGTTTTTCAATTGTTCAAGTTCAATGTCTTAACATTGTTTTCTATGTTTTGAAATATTTTATTTTAGATTAATATTATAAAATGGTTTAATAATAATAATAAGAATAACCACGTTTAATATTATCTTAACTTGTATAAATTACCTATATACTTCTAATTTTATTACTATCATAATTTCAGTAAGGAACTCATGAGCGCAGTTTTTCAAGCATAAACGACGAATCAAAGATTGGTTAGGTTATCATTGATTTATCTTTTCTAAGTATTCAACGATATAGGTATTATAAATAACTTCAAATCAGTTAGTGGTAGATAATAGTACAGTATAAAAATCAAAAAAAAAGTTATAAAATAATACATATTGGAACCTACACTGGAGTGTTTGATTTTACTTTGTATTGTTATTAGGTAGGTATATAATATATTATATTATATTTATATCTATATTTTGTGACATAGGAAATAATTTACCAAAAAATTATATATTATACTTATAAAAAAATAAATAATAGTCACTCAATTTCATATTATCCAATTTAAACATTATTTAAAATGGTATTGGGATGAGGATTGGTTGGACGGATATTTGGTCATCTGTATGCCAGATGCCTATATATTTTTTCAGCTGTCATAGCAGTTTTAGTGTATCTCCTAAAATTAAGAGGTCTAGTTGCGCCTACACTAGGCTATAATTTAAAAATGTGTGTGTGTGTGTATACGAGGAAAAAATAACCAAACACAACTGACCTCGACGGAAGAACTGCAACATTCGATCGGTTATTGTTTACAAACTTTTTTTGTTATTGTTATTGCAATATGTACCTACTATTACTATTACTACGATTACTATTAGGTAGGTATGTGTATTATTTTTTAAGCGTACTCGGTTGTCTAAAACACGTCTCCTGGTTCGACGATCAAAGATGAAACGGGGCAAAACGCTGAATCGAATACCCATAATATATTCTATTATCAAAATAAATAGCCACAACTGCGCAAAAAAGTAATCGATACCATTCGCCTCAACCAATATCATAGTAGTATGAACAATACGTGTTGTATAAATGTGAGCGTTTATTTATTTTATTTTTTTACACTGCTACCAGCTATATATAGTATATAATACAACTATAATCCATGGTTAATAATATAATAATATATTTTCGTAAATTAATTCACTTTGGCTAATAATTGAATCTGACCTTTCGTTCAATATCGACAACATTTTAAAGGTCGATTCATGCTTGTTCACATGTTTATAAAAAAAAAATTGACCACTTAGGTTTTAAAGGTAAACAATATAAATAGAATAGACATTCTGAGAATATCTCAAAATTATGGAAAATTATGGTATTGATAATTATAATTAGTTAAAATATATTATTTGTACACAGTAAGAAGTTACACATCAATTATTATACGTCATGAGTACAACTACTGCAGCAGCATACCTACAGTCATTCGAGTGAGATAATACAAATTATATTATAATATTTTGATTGTATTACATTATAGTAAGCGTATTCACTGCCAAAAATCGAAAAAGTATTTGACACCATTAAGTCGTATAAATATATATTTTGCAATATTATGACACGAAGTAAAAATGGACCTCTATTAAAACGGTTGGAAGTCAATTAACATAAAAGCAAGGTAACTGCAGTGTCACTACCTAAATACCTAATATTTAAATTGGTTTAATACAGTAATACACCAATACACCATACACGTAATATAATATTTCGAAACGACGTATTATTGATCATTGAGTTCGAAATTTCGTCAACCTTCTGAGTGGAGATAAGACGCGTGTCTTGATAACACTCGTTTCTTGGTACCTACCTATCGAATATTATTAAACAATTTCAAAACACAACTTACTCGATTTTGTACAACTCGCATAGTTGCATATACATTTTTCTAAAAGAAATTATTATTTATTTATTATTTTTATTTTTATTAGTTCGTTAGTCGATGATGCTATAGTCAGTATTTTACTTTACACGATACTGTGTCTGTTTGAATTTTTGTCTGCATTTATACTCAGTTCAAGTTAAATTTACCCCCACCGGACCGATGAAAACTAGTCGCGTCCGTTCATCCCTTCCCATTAATGTACTTATGTATGTGCTACATGGCTATCTATAAAGTATAAACCTTGTGACTTGTGGTGTCGCGAAGTCAACACCAGAGCTCAATTAATATTAATCAACTCTCGATTTAAATTCAATTTTTATAAATCAAAATTCTCCAAAAAATATTCTGCTTTGGAAAATGAAATTGAGAATGTATTTTGTCATTCAAAAAAGTAAAGACTTAACCAAAAATATAATAAAAAAATAGTACTGAAAAATGTTAATATTTTGTAATTCTTGTAATCTTATTTTTTTTTTACTTTATTTTAAAATCATTATTTGTTGGTTATTTAAGCTAGTAACTTAGTTTATTAAGTATTACAATAAGCATGTGTGCTAATATAATTGCAACTCGAATATGTATGAGAAAAGCAGCCACCCATTGGCGACACTTTATACTTTATAGTAATCTTATTAATAGTTTTTATTGGTTTTAATATAATATTCGAGTATACAGTAGGTGGGTATTATGTTAATTAATTGAAAGTCAGTAACTCAGAACTCTAGTTACATGATGTAAAGTGAACTGCAAATATTTGATTGAATTATTTTTAATGGAATATATGAGACTATAATGGCCTGCCTTTTACTTTGGATAACAAAAATAACACTTTAAAAAGAGTTCCGGATCTTTTAAAATTGTTATACCTATGTACCTACAACCTACTATGCGGGGTTTTCTTCAAATTATAACAGTTTTAGCAGCAAATTTTCCATACGCGCATTTTAGAAAATTATTTTAATGTCATCTTACAAAGATTTTTTTTGTTTGGTGCAATCAGTCCTGAGCTCCACTTATTATCATAGTACACTCTGTCGCACTACCTGTCGTCTCGTCCTACCTTTAACTAGTTTGCCGTCCGCCGTGCAAGGTCCCTCGTTGAGGAAACACTTGAGCAAGCCTGGCACCAACTTTTGGTTTCGCAGCAAATGGCCCACGTCTATGTGGTCGTACGTGGACACGTAGTAGCCCGATGGCGCGGTGAACATCATCGCTTGCTGTTGCTGCTGTTGCTGCTTTTGCTGCTGCGAAGGATAGATTCCGCCGTCGGCGCAGTAGACGGTCGCGGGCTGATGGACGAGCACGGCGACGATCGCCGTTACTGCCAGCAATGAAAATATTTCTGGACGGCTCCGTGGGCTGTTCATATTATTATTCGTCATCGTCGTCGAAATGGAAACGAAATCCCAATGAGCCTAATAATGATATTATTATAATATTATAACGTTGAGCAGGACGATATTTTGTAAGCTTTTCTAGCGGTCACTAAGACTGAAGTGTCGTCCCACAGTTTATATATATAATATATATATCGTCCATACCCGAGAGCACGCGTGTGAAAATGCGTTCGATTTTTCTATCTCGACAATAACACAAAATACTAAAATATTATATTGTATTATATGTGCGTATAAAGCGCGTGCGTACTCGGCGGTCGGCGACTATCTTTTTTTTTTTTATCGGCACGCGTCTGTTTCGTGTTGTATTCACGGTCAACCGACCCGAAACGCTTATATTATAATTTATAATACTATATTATTATGTTATGTGACGTTTGTGAGTGATTTAATAGGTGACCAATTTAAACGAAAAAATGTCACACGTTTAGACCGAAATCACCGCATATAATCGCTGTTATTCGTACAGAGTGATTCACCAAGTATGTTCATTGCTCACCCTCGTTTTTCATGTAATTATGAATTTATTTAAACTCTGATCTTTGGAATAAAGTTAATACACAATAGTTTTAAAAATTGGCTTATAAAAATATAAAATAGATTGAATATTGAATCTAGTGTTAATTATTATAATTGGATCATTTTTACAAATTCTTGAACTATTATCCTTAGTACACCCAAATAAATGGGCGTACATCGTTTCGGCCAAAAACTAAATATTCGTTTTCGCCAAAATTAATAAAGATTTGGTTTTAGTTTTCACCAAATCATTGATCTTCCAAAATTATTGTTTGATACATTTTGAGAACAACTAATCATAATCCTGGTCTTATGCAATTATATTGTTTTATGGTATTCTGAAAATTAAATGTTTTAAAATAGAACGTTTCCATCCAGAACAATAAACAACTGCGAATTATTCCATGCACATTTAAACGAACCTTTGTATAAATCTTATAATAATTTTTGAACATTTTGATTTTAAGTATTCAAATATTTATGTAAATACACAATTATCAATTAAATATCTAAAAGTCAAAATTATTGAATATTCAAAACATATTAATTAACTCATCAACTGTAACAAGTATAAAATTAAAAATATTACCCATATGAAATTTTTGAAATCAGTAACTATGTAGGTACCATAGGAATAACTAGGGGGGCTTGGATGAGCTTCAACCTCCCCCTTAATTTTAAGGTCTAGTTACGCTTATGGTAGGTACCTAATCTATATAAGCCTAGATTTGGAGGAAACGGAAATCAAATCTGTTTCCACTTTGGCTGAAACATAAAATGTGTATTGTAGGAAACAAATAATACTCCAGTTAAATAGCTCAAAATATACTAGTTCGAGTTTTGATTTTTATACGATGAACATATTTTGTTCAAAAGAATTATCTGATAATTCACAGTAGAAAATGGGAATCTTGTTTGAAAAATCAAAGTTAATATCTCCATAGGACACTCCTTAAGTGTTTGTACAAAAACACTCATGAATTTTAAAATATTGTCTTTAAGTATATTTGAAAATTCCAAAAATAAAATGTTGAGTAACTGCTTAATTGAATAAAAAAGGGTTGAACATGCCTGGTGAATCATCCTGTATATAGGTCAATTTATTTAATTTTAAATCTATCGAGTCTTTTTATAATTATAATAATTATATTATTAATTATTACATATGAATTATTTATCAATATTACAAACCGTATTTATGTTAATAAATAATTACTGTTCTTATTAATCTTAATTAATTATATCTATTAATCTCACTATGTCCACTTCTTCTTTCTATCTGTTAGATTATTTTGTTATAATGTTTGATTTAAAACTGTTACTGGCCTTTGCCCGTTTGAATTAACAAAATAAATATAAGAAAAGGCATATAAAAATAAAAAATACAACAATATAATATAGTTTTGATAATGTCAAGGTATACGCCGCCGAATGATTAAATATTATGGCACCAAAAAACTCATTATGACTTATGAGTTATATGACGAACCTATTATATTACAATATAATTAAAATATTTCAAAAATTTCAAATGTCTATAAAAAGCTTAAATTAAGTCTAAATATTTTAATGATTACATTGTGTATACTACGTATAGAAATGATAGTATAATGGAATGGAATAATGGAATGTTTCGAATTTCTACGATTAATGTTTTTTTAATTATAACAAAACAACTAAAATTGTTTGAGAAAACTTATTATTTTATGTTTCATTGTCCACTTTTGTCAACGTTTGAACTTCAAATGTTTAACAAAAAAAAAAGAAATGGAACAATATATTTTAGAATGTAAGGAAAAAAAACTTATGAGGAACTTTAATTAAGTTCTCAATCCTGAGCTAAAAAAATAAAATTAATTTTTATGATATTGACAAAATAATAAATTATCATGTCCAGAAAATGGCAATATAAATATGTACTCGGTAAGAATATAAAGTTTCCATGGTTGTTAAATTTGTTATGAATCCTTTATGAATCACATATCACGACGAATCAAAAAATGAAGTTGTCAGAAACGGGTGTTGCAAAAATACTAAATTCCGGTTTTCAGTTGTCAGATTATAAATCTAGTGCCAATATATAGGTAGATAAATAATAATAATATATTTATTTTTTTGTTTCAAACATAATACTTATATACATTTGACCAAAGGTGGACAAGTTAATGAAAATAATTAACTCAAGTTAAATTAAGTTAAGAGGACACAAGATCGATTAGTTAAAAGTTAGCAGTTAACAAATTATAAATTTAACTCGATAAGTTAAAAGTTCATATAGAAAACAATATTAACTTACTCAGTTTAAAAAAAGTTGATCTATTTTAGATTCTCAGTGAAACGATGAATGTATTGATTTTACAATGATGTGTGTTTTTTTTTTGTGTCTGTCATCACGTTTTAGGACAGTAAAAGTGCTTGGATTTTCTTCAACAGTATCTTTTCTGATAGGAAAGTGAATCTAGTTGGTACTTTGGGGGGGGCAAAAGTAAAAAATTCCTAGTAGATTTCACAAGCACCGGGAAAAAAAACATAAAAATTAAGGAAAAACGGGAATTTTTACGCAAAATCGGTTTTCCAAAAAATCGATTTTGATTTTTGGTGTAACTCTAAAAGAAATGAACGTATATACATGAAACATTCACTGGTTGTTTATATTTGCATTTTGTATACACGATAACATTTTCAAAATATTTTGATTTTGAACTGTTTAGGGACTTTTCATTTTCCATCTTTTTTCTAAAAATATCAATAAAATTTTATTTGTTGGTTGCGAAAAGTTGAAAATTTAATAGAAAGCTCCTAGTATATTGTTTCAAAGGCAGATGAAAAATATTAAAAATCTTTAGTCACAATTTTTTCTTATAAGTATTTAAAGTTCAAAAATTGACAAAATATGGAAAAATCACGAAAATTAGCAAATTATTTTGAGTTAAGAATTCGTAAAAATTTTTCTTTTTAAATCTAAGATTTGAAAATGTAATACAAGATTCCTTATACGATTATCTACCTTTATCAAAAAAAAAAAAGAAAGTCAAATTAAATTTTTATGAGCGTTCGAAATTCAAATTTTTACAACATTGGATATTCACTCGATTTCTCATGTAGCGATTTCCTTATTTTGTTGTAATTCAAAAACGAATAACTGTAGATACATGAACATTTTACTGGATGATTAAATTAGCATTTCCTATACACCATACTATTTTGAAAATATTTTGACTCTTTTTGAGCTGTTTACGGACATTTTCAATTTTCAATTTTTTTAGTTTTTTTTTCTATAATTAAGTTTTATCTGTTGGGCAAAAAATTGTAAAAATTTAATAGAAGGCTCCTGATATATATTTACTTTAAATCTTATTACGCTATGAGCTTTGGTAATTGAACAGAAATACGAACACACCAGATATTTTTTCCAATTTTTTTTTTTTTATTTGCGTTGCAACAATATTTAATTGAAAGTTAATATTTTACTTATATTATTTTTGAGGGGGCTAATTTTCTGTTTGTACGTTTTGAGGGGGCTAAGCCCCCTCAAGCCCCCCCAATTTCCGCCTATGTCGTAGACGTTCGTGTGTGCAGGACAACCAAAAATATTATGGACACACAATACCATATATTTGACACAATAGCGCCAAAACGAGATGGTACTAAAATAAAATAATAATAGGTACCTATCATTCAAAAGCGCCAAACGTACAACCTCATTCTACTACAGCTACGGCTGGTAATGTAATGTCCTAAAATTCAAAATTTAAAAAACATTTATTACCTTTATAATTTATCATAAACAATAACACTACATTATACTACGTAGATGAAATATAAGAAAATGTTAGTTTTACCATTTTTTATATACATTTTCTAGGCTAAATAGCAGGTATTTAGTGCAACCCAAAAACACATAAATATTTAATAATACATTATAATAATAAACAAATAAATAATTATACACATTCCTGTATACGTATATGCCAATTAGATATACTTGCTAGTTGCTATATACCTAGTATACAGTATACCAGATGAACCTGGTATATACGGTATACGGTATGCCACCTATACCAGCTACGAATTACCTATTGACATAATATTAACAGTTCATTTGAGTGGATTATTTAGGTAGAGGGAATAAATATGTAGAGTAACTATACATAATTCAGATACCAATAATACATATTTGATCAGATTTGATTTATCTTGTGAGCAAATAAAGTAAAATATTTAGGTCAACTAATTATATCAGCTAGACAGATGGTATAAATTATAATATACTATTCAGACCATAAAATCGTGTACGTTCAACGATGTCATTATAATAATTAATAAAGGTATAGGTTATAGGTACGTTTGAGTCAAAAGCCGCGTTTTCAGGGTCTAGCTGTCAACGACGAAAGTCGATACCAAACTGGTCAATCTACCTAAATCGGATAGTGTACTTGACTGTTGGAATATTGGTAGGGTCCATA